TGGGGAATTCTGGGAGTTGAAGTGCGCACATTTTAAAGTTGCCAAGGTTGAGAAACACTGGTATGCACTGTTCTCTCCTTCCCATATTTAGTCTCCACTGAGACTGACTGTTAAGAGCCCACCAGCACCTGCCTGTGAAGAACACAACATACAGAGATTTTAGAAACAAGTCCAGAAATTCTTCAATTTGTTTTTCTAAGGCCCACATGCTATCTAAAGAAGGCCACATATGTTGAGTCTGTGCGTGTGTGTGTGCGCGCGTGTGTGGCAGGTACTCCTGCGGGATTTTTTTTTATACCTCCACCCAGACTAACCGTTGTTCGAAAGTATTTAATCGATTCTGCCTGTCTGTGTCTCTTCTGCATTACGCCCATCTGCCTCCCTTCCCAAAAATCGAAATGTGAATCATTTTGCTGAGAACTTTCCCTGCTCCAGGATGACATCATGTTGAAGCTGTTCAGATAATGGGTTAGAACAGGCCTTGCCAAATAGTGGCTGCTTCGAGTTTTGTGGGGAAGGGACTACGAGGGGCTGCAGGAATTCAGAGGCAGACTGCAGGATTGATGGTCAGAGGACAATTTCATAGCACACCCCATATGTTGGACCACAATGCCTGCCAGCCATACATCTCCCAGCCATTACGTTTGGAAAATGGATTTCAATTTTTGGAATTCTGTAACTCAAAACATCAGAACTGCAGGGCAAGAAAGCTTTTAAGAACATTTTAACAGCAGAAATGCCATGCAACTACAACTCCTTTTCAAATTCTCCTTTTCCTGAATAATAAAGACCCTTAAAGTCTTTTTATGATTTATTGATTTAGTGACTTTAAATCCCCACTTTCCTACTCTATTTACAATACAAAGTAATGGCGTCTGTTTGGCACCAGGACATGCCTATTTCCCCAGATCTGATTCACGGTTTCTTTTCTATTTTCAAGGAAGGAATGGCAGATTTTGAGCTATCCGAGGATAGTGAAGAAACCTTGGGTCCAAATGCCAGTGCAGGAACACTGTCAGCATTTAACCAAGAAAATGTCCCTGAATTGTTCCACATGGATCCCATGGCTGTTCAGTTCCCGCAAGATCCAGATACCATTGGTGCCTCATTGGAGCTTCAGGAATCCATGACTTGCCAAGGCTTGTGTGCTGCTGAGAGCCAACACATGGGCATTGAAGACCTTGGAGAACGGTTTCAGGAATGTATTGAAGCAGTTGAGCAGCTGGAGAGGGAGCGGGACCAGCTCATTAAGGAACTCACACTCTTACGCCAACCAGCTCTTGAGGAAATCCAGCAAGCCCACGAAGAGATCCTGGAAGCATACAGGCTCCATGCCAAAGTAGAACTTGAGAAGGATAACTTGCGGGATGAGATTCGGCAAGTGAAACGGAAGCTGTTTAAGGTGACGCGGGAATGTGTGGCCTGTCAGTATCAGCTAGAAACGAGGAGGTATGAAGTAGCTCAACATGGGGACTACCGCAAAGAACTGGAAAACAGAGTCAACCAGCTCTCAGAAGAGCTGTCCCAGCTGAAAGAGACTTGTGAGGAAGAGAAGGAACATTTTAGGCAAAGGCTGGCGGCTCCGTGGCACCAGAGGAACAGCCGCCACCTCCAGGAGAGTCGGCGGCTTTCCATGGAGTTTGAGAGTTTTGTATTGGAGAATCGTCAGTGCTTGGAGGAGCATTACGAACCTAAGCTGATGCGCCTCCTGGAAAGGAGAGAAGCCAGTAGCAAGGCTTTGCAAAAGACACAAGGTGAAATCCACAGACTGAAGGAAACCCTAAGGCCGTTGCAGGGAGAAGTCAGCAAGCTACTACTGCAAAACAGGAACCTGGAGGAACAGATTCTGCTGATCAAGCAGAAACGGGATGAAGAGGTTCTACAATACAAGGTATGCCCTATGGCCTGCCCAGTGCCCTGTTTCGGCCAGCTGCTCTGCCAGTTGATGCAGTACTTGCCTGGCCAAGTAGCTCGCTGGGGGCAAAAGGAGTTCTGAGCTAAACTCGGTTATGGGGGGAGAGCTCCTTTGGGCTGCAGGTGAGTGAATCAACTGGTTAAGAGAGACGTCATCTCAGGAAGAATGGCTCCGTAATGCTTTCCCCTGGAACGTTAGCCTCGCATTTATAGTAAGCTTTGCGTGTGGGGAAATATTTGAAGGTGTGCCCCATCTTTGACACACACGGGAATCAAAGCCAAGCATGTGGGTCGTAATGGCAGAGCAAGTTTTGGAAAGCAAGCCAGAGAAAGGCTGGCTCATTTTCTATGCCATCTTATGTATACCTCTGTGATTGCCTTAACTGACAAGCCCTAAAACTTTATTGCATGTATGTATGAACAACTGAAGAAATTAATCTCTGCTTTCCTCAAAGGAGGCGCTGTAACCTCCTATTCAGTTTAGAAAGGAACCCAAATCGTTTTAGTTCATGAGAAAAAATCTAATTCACGATCGAGCTATATCTTTATTAGGGCTTCCACATTCTCAAGGCACTATAAGCAGGCAGTTATTTTAAAAAGGGGGTGGGAGAAGCCTTACCCCCTGCCATTCATCCGGCTCAGTTTCCTTGCTGTGCTATGGTTATTTGCAGGTCAGAAGCAAAGGCAGTGACGGTGTTTTATATTTCCTCACAAGTTCTTTCAAGAGCTGGGTTTTGTAATAAACTATCATTGTTTATATGCTGTGTGGTTGGCAGGTTACCGCTATACTATATGGGGGACAAATGTTGTGGAACCAGTTAGAAAGGGATGAGACTATTGAACTCCTGAATACACTTATTTTTGACATCTCCCTTTTCTGTTTACAGCAGCTTTCCAAATCCATAGCCCACCTCCCAGATGCTTGGGGATCGACACTCTAGAAGATTAGGGAAAGCTATTTACTTGTTCAGTGAGATTTTAAAACCATGTGATTTGATCCTTCTCTGGAGACTATATAAATAACTGCCTATTTTTGTGGCCACACAAGCACATTTTGTTGTCTATGAATAGGACTGATCTGTAACATATCCGGCCAAATAGGACCTTGAGGGAACCCTGGATCTTGTGCAACATCAGAATAGTAGAGTTTTGAACACGCCGGGGCTCAGCCTCGACTTTTCTTTTCAGGAACAGACTACAGCGAAGGAGCCACAAATGCGCCTGACGCAAGAACCAAGTGCGATCACGCCAGCTCCCTCAATATCGTGAAGCATCAGCACAAGTTAGTTAGATATATCATTAAGCTAGTAACACATCTTTAAGACAGCTTAGCCTCTCTCATATGCCAGGTTAATCAGAATGGACAAAATCATGTAATTTCATGGTGGTAAAGAAAATTTAAAGCAAGGAAAGGATGCCACTTCTGCAAGCGGGCAGACTTTACAGGGCCGACGTGACTGTAAACTACACGACCATCAGAAGTCCCATGGAAGGTTCATATTTCTTCTTCTGGGACTAAGGCCATGCTGCAGAATTGTTTCCAAGATTATGTAATTACTTGCACTTTTGGAAACTTGAAAGTTTTCATGTTATTTTGCAAACTTTGATTTGGCCTTAAAAGGGTGTTATAATTTTTTTCACCTCATGGCTACGGTCATTCGTATTTTTCATGTAATTCTAAAACTAAAAAAACCCAAACCAACCCACACAGAACATATAAACATCAGTGTTGTAAATGCATTTTTAAGAAGTAATTTATTTAGTATATCAAGGATTTATATGTCATGTATCAACTAAGCCTACGCTGTTGGTAAATGGTGTCTTTGGCAGCCATTTTAAGTTACTGTAGTCATTATATGCATTTTTTAACTTTTGTCAGCCACCCAGTCACATTAGTGAGATGGGTGGCCATATACATCAATTTAAATGAAATAAACCACAGGTAGTCCTTGCTTAGCAACTGCCTTGTTTAGCAACTGTTTGCAGTTACGACAGTGATAAAAAAGCAACTTTACGATCTCATACTTACAACCTTCACAGATCTGTAGAGCAAAGGAAAGCTGAAGTAAGATCATAAGCAGTCATGGTTTCACTTAGCAACTGCCTTAACGACTGAGTTGCTGGTCCCAATTATGGTCACTAAACAAGGACTACCTGTAATTTATTCAAATTATTATAAGCTTATAGATTCCATCAAAGACGCTGCTTGTGATTTTTAAGAAGTAAATAAGATGTAAATATCTTCCGTGCTTGCAAGTGTCTTTCAGTTTACTTGCCCATTCCCCAAGTTCACAATGGAGTGTTCACTATCGCAGCGTAGCAAAGCCACGTCAACCTTGATTGCAACGTAAGGCAATGAATTAAAAGCTGCTCCCTTTTTTAGAAGACAATTTACATGCCAGTATTTTCCCATCCACAGGAGCAGGTTGAGGAGATGGAAAACAGAATAAGGGAACTGAAGAATGGAGTTCAGCTTCAGCAACGAAAGAACCAAGAATTGGAAGAACTGAAGGCCAGCTTACATCAGGAACTATCCATTTACAAGTAAGTTCCGTTTCTTTGATCAATACCCGTGTAAAAGCAAAATAAGGAAGAAAACACCATTACTAAAGAAGGGTTTGAAAATAATTTAAGAAAGATGCTTTGGGGCCAAGAAGTCTTGATTTCCTATTCTCTACTATCTTTGTACATCACTTCTTGGCCTTTGCACTAAGATAGTATCTAGCTCTGTATAGAATACAGTGTATAATCTAATTATTTTATGCACATAGACAGGATACATTTTTTGGACAGGATTCAAATTGTAACTGAAATAAAGACATCATGCTTTTAACATAAAAATGGTTTTATGACTTTTCGTACTCTCTAAACTCAAGTTGCATTCTTTCGTTAGTCACAAGTAGGGTCTACAGATTCAAAGCGTCCTGAGGGCAAGGGTCATTTTGCAATGTATCATTTCTTGTAACGTAGAATTGGTGTGAAATATTTCCCTGAGCAACCGGGTAACCGAGTTTCAATTCTCACAGAAACTGCTTAGAAATCTACGGGCAACTCTGCCAATCGGAAGTTAAACAAGATGAAGAATGAATCCTGTGCATGGCCACCATTCCTCCTGCTCACAAATATGGACTCATCTCTCCATCCAATTACTAGTAACAACCCACAAGCAAGATTTCTAGGGTGACAGTCTGCATTTTTACTTTGTCAAAAAGAATTACAACATTTGAGATGTGGTTGTTATGACAGATCTGATGTTAACAGAATGCCAGATATGCATTATCAACAATTCAGCTGTTAAATATGACATATCAACACCTTTGTCAATATTTAATTTTCTGTATAAAACTTGTTTATGAATAGCGAAGCCAGCTTTTTGTAGTCTTGCAATTCGTTATTAGGAAACAAATTCAAAAACAATTGATACAAGAATTGCTTTCCTTTACAGGTAGTCCTCAACCTATGATCATTTAGCCAGCCGCCATTCCAAGTTACGACGGCACTGAATGGTTATAAACAGTCCTTGGAGTTCTGGCCATCCCAGCACCCCTGAGGTCACATGCTCGCAATCTGGCTGCTTGGCAATCTGTTCACACTTACAACCAGTTGCCAAGTACCCCACAATCACGTGATCACCATTTGCAACCTTCTTTGCAGGCTTCCCGAGGAAGTCAGTGGGGAAGCCAGTAGGGAAGGTTGCAAGTAGCTGGGGTAAGTGTCCCCCACCTGTGCTCCCACCCTCTGTGCTCACACCAGCCATTCACCCTCCCTGACCTGTGCATGCCTCTTGCGCACCCTTCCAGACCCTCCCCCACCTGGCAACAGCTATTTACCTGCCTGTGGGCCTGGGACTTGCAACTTTCTAGCTGACTTTGGTTGTGGGAAGCCAGCAGGAAGTTGCCTCACCTAACGACTGTGGGATTCAGTTAACAGCAGCAACTGGGACTGCAGGGATTGCCATCACTAAGCGAGGTGGTCGTGCTTTACAACCGCATCACTTAGCAATGGAAATTCCAGTCCCGATTGCCATCATAAGTCAAGGACTACCTGTAGTGACAAATAGGGTTACATTAATTTAAAGCCCACTTTTAGGACCATAAGCCAATAGATTCGCCCTGTCGAGACATCACCAACAGGAACTAGAACCTTAACCGTTCCTTCTATTTTCTAGGTCAGAAAAAGTTAAATGGAAAAATGTTATACAAAGATATAACTACAGTTTTAAAATCAAAAGGTTTCCAGAGTCCGTGTACTGAATAGAACCACAGCAAAAAGCTGCATGAACCCAACGGAACACAGCTCCCAGCAGCCTATCACCCTCGTGGTTTAGCCAGTAACACATAACTACTCCATTTTTATTCCTAGTGGCTAAGAACAATTTACAATTTACTTCTTACGAAACCTAGAAGACAAACTTTTCAATACATAATTTGGTAAAAAATCCACACATGTTCAATTGAAGAAAAAAAAGACAAGTCACATTCTACATAAAAAACTGATTTATTTCACTTGAAGCTTTTGTACAGGGTTCATGAAGAGTTAATATTGGGTGCTGGTGAAACAGTTTATTAAATCCACACAGCAAATATTTTGAGACAAGCTGAAACAGTATGTTATCCACATTTTCATCATTCCTTATTATGTATACCTGCTACCAGTGTGCAATTCCAGGAAGCTGGGCACAAGGTCTGTGGTCTATCACTCAGCTGAAACAAACACCTTTTACAACTTGGTCTCCCAAGTTAAAACACAAAGACAATTAACAAGAAATGAAAGATAAACACATTTCAAGAAAGAGACAGAGCGCCAAGCAATGTGCAGGTATAGGCTATCATCGTATATTCATGTCCTAACATCCTAAGTTGCCTCATCGGAAGATGATAGAGGGAACAAGATGTTATAGAGAAATTTGGGAAGATAGTATCACTGACAGCAGCTAGAGACAAGGATGAGAACTGATGAACTTGTATTGGATTTATCCATGGTGAGAACTTGAGGACTAGAGAGCAAAAGCAACCCCAACTCTCTTATTGAAGGGCATCAAAAGTATTTATAATAAAATAAAAGAGAATCCTCTCTGCTCTTAAATTCACTCAACATTTGTACTGCAACAGTTCAAGCATACCTTGTATTAATTATTTTTTAAAATAACAAATTAATCTTGTACTTGTGGCAATAGACCATTCACGCTAGCATAACTCACAAATTCTTCAGAAGAGAAATGGTCAAAAAACAGCCAGTCTGTCAACATTCAACAGCAACCTTTTACATTCTCAGATGAACAGCATTCACAAATGAGCTGTTGAATGCACAGTGTGTGATTTGTCTCTCTCAAAACAGCAATGTTGTCAATCTTAGGATAGTTAGAACAAGGCAGGAAGAGGACAGTAAGAGGGAAATAACAAGAAAAGGGGCCAAGTATCTAGGATCCTTGCCCTTCCGGATCCACACTTCCTTCAGGATCTTCATCATTATATATGTTCTCTGCCTACAATGGGAGATGAATAGAGAAAGAGAAGTATTAATATGGTGGACAAGGATACCAATCCAGAGGACAACTGTTAACCATTCCAGTCAAAGAGAATATCTGTAGCTCAGGGTTGAACTGTGGAGTCCTTGGTGCTCTCTGAGTTTGGTGGTTTGCTTGCAGACATTTCATTACCCAACTAGGTAACATCATCAATGCGACTTATTAACCATGGCAGTGACAGGTAACATTTAAATAAGCATTAAGCAGCTTCAACATCCAACATTGTGTATTTGTTACTCATAAGGATTCTATTATTCTTTCCCCAGGTACTTGTAAGGTGATAAATTCCTTTCATTAGCACAAGATAACTTTCAACAAGCACACCCTGCTGCACCAGCAAAAGAATGTCTCTGCACACAGAGACATTCTATATGTAGAGACATTACCATAACACAACTACTTCCAGGGTCAACACTTCATGCAAGGAATGGCTAAAAGATTACAAAACTAACAAAGTCAGAGAACATTCATCTAAAATCTATACTTCAGTTAAGTTAGCCTTGAAATAATCAGCTGAATACTTACCATCTGCCAAACTTGCATTATATTGTCTTCTGATACAGAACAAATTACCCAGGGCTCATTGGGATTCCAGGAGAAGTCAGATATCTTTGCAGTGTGACCCCCATGAATAAACTAACGCCAAGATCAAGAGACAGCAATGTAAATATACAACATCAATGGAGCATACTAACAGAAGCAACATTTACAAAATCCAAAGTGACTTGCCAATATAAAACTCATTAAACTTCAATAGACTTACTCCTAAATTATATCACTTTTTAAAAGCAGATTCTAGAATACAATAAAGTAACACCCTAGCAATGAAGTTTTCTATTTTAAATTACATGGTAATAAAAAGTTAACATATATGTGCAAACCTATCGCAGGTGAACTTTCAGACAAACCCCAGACTAGTTCCATTTCTTCTTCAGATCACTCCATCCTAGGCGTGGCCCAGTGGTTTTTCAGAACTTAATCCTCAAAACCAAAATGGTTTATGGTACTCCATATAGTTGGAGACAGATCATGGCCAAAATGCTATGAAGTGCTTCCTGTTTGGAGGAGTAACTTCCTGGAAATAACAGGACGAGCCCAGGAAGGACCAGATTGGTATGGCCTGGAGAAGAGATGTTGCCCAATGTGATCTGGGCAGTAGCTTTTGCACACCTCTCAAAAGTAATTATAGGGTACATGAGCAAGCATCACTCAGCCGTACACTTCACTCTCGTTTTACTATCTCTCTCTCTTTTTCAATCAGCAAGAGATATGCTGCAGAGTAGGTTCAGAAAACAACTTCCAGATTCTAGGACAAAAGAGATCATACGGGAAGATGGCAAAAGCAAGATGTTTTTCAGTCAGACTGATTTTGGCATTTTCAGACAAAAAATGGAGGGGGGAATCATTTCAAACAGGGAGAAGTAGCAGAGATATTGTTGTGGCAAGATTAAAGTATTCCACTTACCAGCAATTCAGGTGGACCATCTTCTGCATCCTCAGGAGACTGTTCTTCTCCAATTTTACTAGAAAATAAGACAGGATTATATGAAAACCATTTCTGATAAAAGTAATTTATATATGTATCATTGTACTAATTTGCTGCTCACCTCAAATCCCAGACATTCAACCTGCGATCAGTACCACTGGAGGCCAAAATAGTTTCATTATGTGGTGACCACTGAACCTGTGGAGTAGGATATACAAAACACGTTGTAGTACAGGTAGTCCTCACTTAATGAGCACAATGGGGACTGGCAACTCCATTGCTAAGCACTGTGGCCACTAAGTGAGACATTAAGAAAATCACCTGCAGCCATTAAGTAAGACATCACATGACTGTGACTTGAGATTTTACTGCTGGCTTCTCCATTGACTATGCTTGTTGGAAGACAGCACTGAAGTGTACAAATGACAATCATGTGCCCATGGGATGTTGCAATGGTCATAAACACCCACCAGTTGCACAGCACCCAAATCTCAATCACAGGACTGCATGGATACTGCAATGGTCGTAAAGTTATTTTTTCAGTGCCATCATAACTTTGAACAATTGCTAAACAGGGCAGCCGTTACGCAAGGACTACCTGTATTTAACATTAATTTTTGGCCTTTAGCATAATTTTCATGCTTCAACAAGAACTGCTCTGTCCCTCCCTATCTGATTTATTCCTTTTGCTAAGCCATTAAGATGCCAAAATAGTAACACACTAAAAAGAACCCCATTTATCAGTCACTTCATTAAAATCATAAGTATTATAAACTAAAAAAAATACAAAACTAATATAAAATCCAGGAATACTTGTCTAACTAGACTGGCTCTTCCATTCAGCAGCGCTGTATTAGGCATACTGCCAAGCAAAACTGCTATTTGCCATATGATTTTAGGGGCTGACATAAGGACTAAATACTAAATACTAAATAAATACTATCCTGAGGAACTGAACCTGCTTGCTTTGGGGAGCAAATCACAATTCTGCAGATATCTCTGGAGAAGACACAGTACAACAGAACAAGGAGCAGTGTTTCTAAAGCACTGCCCACATGGCAGTGTTTTTATATCTGCTACCAAGCATTGCCAAAAGAAGGATGTTCGAGTGCACTGGGGTAAATGCTTTGTGGTATTTTGAGTAAATAAGTTGTGTGAGATATTGGGCTGGCTAGGGGGTGTGCAACCAACTCCCAGCTACCACACTCGCAGAAATTCTACCCTTGTCATCTTGTGTTGTGTGTTCATACCTGCAAGTCACTGCTTTAACATCTCTCTATTTCAGTCATATCCTGTTTCTATCAGCCACTTAGGAGAAAGCCCACATTCCAGTCATTTCCGTTCTTCCATGTGTTTCCAAGGAGGAAGGAAAGAACCCACCAATATTGGTGGACTGAGACCACAGGATAAGGAATACAGCTTTACACAAAAGTTAAATATCCCCATCCAGGCCCCTGTTTCAACCCTTATTAGTCATTCTCTAAGCCAAGTCCTCCATTTGGGACACAACATGCCACTTGGGGGACTTTCCTCAGAAATGTGGACTACTTTGGTTAGAACAGTCTTATTTCCTAACCTTAATTCCATTCCATGGCTAGGTATTTGGCCAAAAAGTTCAATGGCAAGTGAACTATTGTGCACTCCCCTTGAGTAAAAAAAACAAAACAGTACATTAACCAAGTGTTTATGCTTTAACTACAGAACTTTTGAAAGGTCTTCTTAAAAGCACCCAACTTGTCAAATGATCAAGAGCAAGGCATCCCATAATATTATGAGAATTACCTGAAATATTTCATCTTTATGTGACTCAAAGGAATGCAGCTTTAGTTTCA